TGAGTTTGAGATTCCAGCTGTTATTTGAGAAACCCACATCTTAGGGCTCCTACTAGCACCAAACTAGAGGGGCTCACTTTACCCCCACAGCACACACACACACACACACACAAACTGATGGTACCAGACATGTCTCTGACTCTCAGGACATTTTTTTTAATTCAAAATATAAATTGGTTATCAACATCAGACTCCAGATAAGAGTCAGAAAATATTCAGTATTCTAACTTCCCAAGAAAAACAAAGCTGTCTGGCTAGCCGGAGCCAATACTCATCTGGCAAAGTCAGCAATAACCTGGTCTTGGGTGGCTGAGAAATAGTCCCCATTTCTTCACATCCTCCTGTTTGCTCATCATTTCCGATGCCCAAAATTCGCTTCCCTTCTTTTTTAGGTCCCTGTGTTTTTTCAGTTTGAAATCCCTACCTTAGAGTGGGGCTCCAAATAATGCCTGTTTTTACCCTTAAACTTGAGCCTATCAACATCTCTGTTTCTGTCTCTCTGCAGGCTGTCATGCAAGGTGGTCTCTTCTGCTGCCAGCACCTCAAAGCCTTCCCAACATCACCCTTTTGCTGTTCCCACCTCCAAACCCCAGTCAAGTCGTCCTGTCCCCCCTCCTTTCCAACAGGGTCTCAACTGCTCTGGCTTCCAGCTTTCCTTTCCCACTCAACGCCCCAAGCTCACTTTTGGATAGGAAATAAAATTTTTTATTTTTTTAGACCTTGACTCTGGCTGTTTCTGGGGGTTGGTCTGACAGCCCCAGGGCTTTGAAGGAGCCAACACAAGCAGACACACCCCACCATACTCCAGGGCCCTGTTGCTGTCTCTAGGAAGGGCAAAGGCGCCAGTCAATCCACTTGGCGCCTTATTCACGCCACCAGGGACTCTTGGGATGAGGTAGAAACCTTAATGAGTCACTAAGGACCTGTTACACTCCTTCCTCCCCACCACCCAACTACAACCACAAATACACAGTCTGTGGGAGAGACCGGGCTAATCTCTAGACTTAGAAAGATAGCCCCAGGAGTTGCCCTGCCCTTCGGAATAAGGAACTCTTCTTCCCAGGTATTTGGCGGTGAGCTAGGCGTCGTGTGTTACTGTGGGCATGTAGCTGGAGGGAAGAGCTTGTCACCAGTCAAGAACCTGCTAAGAATGACGTCACTTCTCTGGAGCTCCATGTCCTATGACGTATGTGTTGAAAGAAACTGCCACCTTGATGACAAGATGAAATTAGATGTGGGCACAGCATGTGGCAGGTTGTTCCAGACAGGTCTATTCTTCAACTCAAGCGTTCAGGGTATGACTCATGCCCTAGCACAGTGGCCACATGACATGGTCTCTGGGGTGGGCTTAGATTTCATATAAGTTTTGAATAGTGTCCCTGGGAGAGAGATGCAGAGAGAGGAGATACTGGCCAGTGCTGGAGGTTGGGGTTGAGCAGGAAGCAGAAGTGGTCCTAATTCATATAGAAGGAATTAGAAGAAACAGAAATAGAACTGACCCATATTCGGAGTGGGGGGGGTTTGTCTACAGTGATGGGTAGAGAGAAACCAGGCAGAGGTTGTTGTTGGAGGAGAGTTAATTCAGATCTGGGGTGGAGGCTGCCCTGGTGTGTTTGGGATCTGGGCCAAATAAAGCTTAGTCTGTCTCGGTGCCACACACCCCTTCAACCTCCGCACTCCAGAAGTAGAAGCAGGAGGATCTCTGGGAGTTAAAGACAGCCCAGTCTGCATAGCAAGTTCCAGGCCAATCAGGGCCTATGTGAAAGTAAGGAAGGGAGCGAGGGAGACCAAGACCATGGCGGGCAGAGGAACTTCTCCTTTTCATCCCACCTAGGCTCTACAAGAGGCCGCCCCTTTTTTAAGTTATATTCCTTCATTTATTTGAGGGGAGGGGAGGTGGGTTCTTACACGCCATGACACACATGTGCATGTCAAGAACAACTTGTGGGAGTCTGTTATCTCTTTACACTACGTGGGTCCTAGGGATGGAAGTCTGTCAGGCTCGGCGGCAAGCTCCTTTAGCCGGCAAGCCATTTCGTTGACCCCAGGGAGCCATTTCTACAGAGCTGCACCTTTTCCCCCAACCCCCTTCTTTCTTTTCTCTCCCTTTCCTCCCTCCCTCCCTCTTTCCTTCCTTTTTTTACCCAGGGTCTTACTATGTAACAGCCCTATCTGTTACTCACACAGATCTGCCAGCCTCTCTACCTTCCGAGTGAGCCACCACGCTGGGCTCCATCGCCTTTCATATAATAGCATGTTCTCAGCAATCAGCCTCCTGGACCTGTCTTGGCCGCAAAGTGTGGACAGGGGCTTCTTTAAGAGAGAATACCGTCTACACGGCCTCAGGAGCATCATATTTCTCCTTTCTCAATTCTGCAAGCACAGTCCTCTCTGGCAAAGTTCTACCACACGCCTTCCCTCGCGGCACCTGGAACTGGCAGTGACGCGATAAGCAGGCCTGGACCAGCTCCGCCCCACCAGCAGCGGGACCCACCCTACACCCAAGTGCCAGGCAGCTCCCGGCTCCTCCCTTTGCTGAGAACTACAAGTCCCGCCATCCCTCGCGCGCACTCGCCCTCCTTTCCCGCGTTGATTGCGGGTAGGATCAAAGTGCCTCCCATTGGTCTGTTCTTTCTGTCAGTCACTTGTGACTATAGAGAGGCGGGGCAGAGCTGGAGATCCGGATCCGGAGCGGCTGAAAGGCGGAAGTGGAGGCCGGAGCCTGGGACACCGCCGGGAGGGAGAGGAGCGGAGTCTGTAGGAGCCCCGGCCCAAGTAACGCTGCCGCTCCGGAGTCGCGGTGAGTGTGCCTGTCCCAGGGCCAGTCTCTCGCCTGCGTGGAAGCCTCCCTGGGGTACCCTTTCCTCCTGCTCAACCTTAGCTTAGGGGGACACTGACCCCTCCCCCGACCCGTAGCCCCCTCTCAGGGGCTCCATAGGGCGTCGGGCCAAAGGGGGAGCGCCTCTTTCCTTCGCTTACCTGCCCCTCGGGAGCCTTCAGGAGTCCTTTAAGGCTCTCCTGTGGCCTGTCCAGTCCAGTTGTGGGAGAGAGGGACCCTAAGTTCCGCTCCCCACCCCCTTGCTTTCAGAATCAAAGAGTCTTTGCCAGGTGTGAAGGAACCTGTCTCCCTTCCCTTTTACAGGTGACGGGGAGTGCTGTCTCTCCTGGTTTTCCTTTCCTGTGTCTCGCCCCCCAAAAAATCCCACTCCCCCCTCAAAAAACCCAGTTGCCCCCTGCAGCCCTGAAGGAATTCTTATCTAGATGTCCTTTAGGGTGTGCGGGGATGGTGGGTGCCTGGATGAGATTGTTCCACACTCACAGAAGTGTGTTTGCGCCCTTACGGTTCCTTACTTCCTCTCGAATCTACCAGGACTCAGCAGAGTTTGAATTCTGGGTCACTGACAGGGAGTCGGCAGCCCTCTCCTTGTGCCGCTCGTCAGACCCCCAGCCCTGGCTGTCTTCTCAGTGTGTGTCCGTCTTCCTGCCTCTGTAGAATTTAGCTGAGCTTGGCTGAATCCTAGCGACAGATCAGGGAGGCTCTGCCCATTCATTATCTTCTCTCTCCCCTCCTCCCCCCTGCTCCAGGCTCAGCCCTGTCCTTCCAGAGCCTCCGAGTGGTTTCCTTAGAGGGAGGAGAATAAGACCAAATAGGAGCTGTGTGGCATTGAGGGACCTTCTCTTCTCTGTCCCCAGTCCCACAACGCTCTCCACCTGAGCAACAGGTCCAGGCCTCACCAGCGTCTCTTCTTGGCTTGGCTTTACTACAGAGCAGTTGGTCCAGATCACAGTGGCAGCTCTAGCTTTTGTAGCAAAAGGAATTGCTGTCCGTGTCACAAATTGCCAGTTCCCCCAACTGAATTGACGCAGGATCCTTGTGTTTTCCTTGGGACTGAAGTGTGTGAAATGGCTGCTGTTTCTGACCGAGTTGGAAAGTTCTTTTGTTAAGTGGCCAAAGTACAGGCCAGAGACTACCTTTCTGAGGAGTAGCCTGAGTCCGAGGTCACAGCTGACCCTTGCTGTCTGCTGTGAAGGAAGAGTGGGAAAGCCGTTCAGTTCTCGGGCATTCCTGACCACCTTAAGACACTCCTTATCACGCGAGAGCTGAAAATTTTGCTTTGAGCTTTTTCTGACCTACTTCTGGACAGTTGCCGGTGTCCAGTTAGTACAACATTTTAAGCTAATTCTGTGGTGTATTTATTTTGCTACTTCTTGGACAATAAAGAAACCCCTTCCTTATTAAGAGTCAACGGCTAAATGAGACGTTCTCTTTCTGTGTGGGCTCGTTGGTGAATCCCTTACCCAGCCAGCCTCTGGTCTGTTCAGCATGAGCTTCTCAGGGAGAACCAGTGAACCCTGACTGCTCCCAGCGATTGATATTTCTGCTAGACTTACCTGCTCAGGGGTGGATTGGGATTCCTGGG